ACACAGTTCATTATGGTGATGCAGAGGAGCAGCGGCTGGCTGATGAACGTTTACTGCAACGTCGTTTATCATCTTGAGATAAAACAAACTGGTGTTGCTAGGCGAACGCAGCATGCAGCGTATGGTAGAGACGGAAAAACCCATTTAGAATCTAATCCTTCAAGATGACATTAACATGCGCCGAGTTTAAGTAGCTTATATAAACGCCCTGCTGCAGCAACTGTTTGGAGTCGGAGCATTTTAGCAGAAATGTTGACTCTCGAGGATCCCTCTGAGACCTTTGTCACTGCGACGACTGCAATTGGCAAAACTGAAGCTAAATGTATCACTGCAGAGCTAAAATGAACGTAACGAACCATGCTATTATAAAAATTGCTGGGAAATGTAAAAAAAAATACAAAGCAGCTGTACAGTAGCTGAGACACAGAGCTGAGGTCAGGGAATAAAATACAAACTAGTGGTTGGTAGCAAAACACAGAGATAGGAAAAGCAAGTGTTTAATGATGTTATTCTCCAGGTAGAGGCAGCTATCTGGTTTTATCTCAAACCCTGAATAGAAGGACCTTTGTGTTTCGCCACTTCTAGTCTGTCATTCCTAATTTGGTAGTTCGGCTGAGAGAGAGACAGAGTGAGAGAGACTACCGGCTGGTGTATGGAGTCAACTCAAATCACAATTAGTCATCCTCTCTTTGCAGTTAAAATCCTGTGAAGGCCTTTAAAAATTCAACTGTTAATATAATGTTAATGTAAACAATGACAATTGAAATGAAGTAAGACGGTTTTTGGGCATGGTGTCTGGTCAACTGTTTTACAGACTTGCATTTTATAATGTTGTTTATGTGAAAAATGCCTTTTGGGCCATAGAATTGTTGTTGTTGCTGCAATACCACGACTGGCCACTAGGAAAAAAGGGGGAGACACAACACTTCAAGTCAGTGGCCGTTTCTCAATGTCGAGGAGGCTTGCTTGCTTGGTAGCACATGTATGCTGGACATTGGAACAGTCCTTCCGTGCCACTCGATGACGTAGTATACTTGAAATAGTGGCTCTGCAGCAGCTTTACTCGACATTGAGAAACACCCAGTGGCTCTTTTTGTGATGTGTAAATGGCTGCTGCTCAGACATAAGACATGCCAAGACATAATCTTACTATGTAGACTGAAGACATCGACACCCAACAACATTGTATAGTGCTAATTAGCAAATGATGGCATTTTAACCTGCTAAATTAAGATGGTAAAAATGACTTACTTTAAACAAGCATATTAGAGTTGTTAGCTTGTTAGCATGCTGACATTAGCATTCAACTTAAAGCTTAGTTTTTTTTGGGGGGCCAGAGTGCTTTTTTATTTTTATCAGAGATGAATAGTTCAAAGGGGGAGATAGAGGGGAGGACATTGATGGAAAAGTTCGCCGGGCTCGGGAGTCGACCTCGCTTTCTTGGCAGCGGAGACTGCATATGTCAAAAGATAATAATACGTTTATTTATTATAGCAATGAGCTAACCAGTGGCCCTAAAACACCACAGTTCCTGCGTTAAGTCTTGCAGAGCTGCTAGCAGTAGTGAGCGCAGGATGTTACTTGTAGCAGATTCGGTATGAATGCTTCAGTTAAAATAAAAACCTGCTTCTTCGACAACTTCAAGACTCTGTCATTGTTGCCAGTAATATAAGCTACATTAGAAAATTGCACTTTAAGCCTCTCCCCCATTAGCATTTTAAATCTGTTAAGAATTTATTATATGAATTATGCAACAAGCAAAGTCCACATGTCCAAATCTGTGAGATTTTGCTAAAAGGGCATTGGCATCAATGAATGAATTAATGTCATCCTTTCAGTCCCCCCCCATATATGTAGTGTACCAGGGGCGGTACATACTGTACATTATAGTTGCATGAAGCAATCTCAGGCTGTTTAAAAGCTTCTGAAACCTGAAGAGGCAGCGGGTGGAGTCTACGATACATGACGCCAGCTCTAGACCCTTCTCTGTGTGTCCTGTACAGCATATTTATGCAGTCAGGGGTCCTATGGGAAGAGACAGAATTAGCAGTGGATAGTGAAAGGTCATAGAGCAGTGGGAATAAAGATCCCGTTGACGCAATCTGTCCAATATTTATTTCCTTTGGCCAGAGAATGAGTGCCTACGTCTAGACTTGGGGAAACAAATCAAAACAACAAATTGACATCAAACACATTTGTTAGTGTTGGTGATGGCATTCAAACCGGTTTCTGACAAACTTCCTTTTAAGATGAAAATAAAGCACACGTAAGCATTAAACAAGCTTCTAAAAAGGAAATGACAGTGAACATATCTTAACCAGACCGAGAGAAGAAGCTTTCTGAAGAGTCACAACCAACTATGCTGGAGTGTTTTACAGCTGTTTAAACAGTGAGCCTGTCTGCTGCAGTATACACAGTCAGAGCCTCTGGAGGAGTTGTTTTTCACAGGCCTTTGTGGTATGCATGTGCATCCCGGCCCACTCAGACCCACCTCATGGCTGGCTGGTTGGCATTCCTGCCTCTCTCTGTAATTATGGCTCTTCTCCAAGCCTCTCTGCTCTGCTCTCTCCGCACCGCCATATTCTTAAAAGGGTGGGGCCTGCCTCGCACTTTCCACCTGGCCAGTTGGCTCAGGCTCTAATTTTAACAATAATACATCACCAGGAGAAGATGTACACGGACAACAGAAGCGGGCAACAGTTGCATGCAGTGGGAAAAATATCAGTTTCAATTACACTTGGTGTCATGTATCATGAATCAGGGTTAATCATAATGTTCTAAAACTTGCAATGAACCTAAAAACCATCATTAATACAGAACTAAAGTGAAGGGAATACTTTGCTTTCAACCCTGCCTCCTATGGAGTGTGTGAAGTTTTAACACACACAAGTTGTGAAAGAGTCTAGATGTCAAACTACACACAGTAGATACACACTTGTAATCTGGCAGTGTGAAAATGAGAGCCTAGGGGAAGTTTGACTTTAGTGCTCATACAGCACATCTGTCTGCAGCTGTTAGGAGACACGTGTAAGGTTGAAGATTCTGGTCTCAGATTCCCAAGGTGTTTTTCTCTCTAATTTCTCTAACAGCCTCATCAAAAGACTCCAAAATGTCCCCTAATCCTTCAGCAAGACATGTCTGCAGGCACCAAATAACGAGTAAGTGGTGATGTGACGTTAACAACAACATTATATTAGAGCCAAAGTCTACAGAACTTTGCATAACATTCAGGAAATAAACAAATATTTGGTCAGCAGTAGTAACCACTGCTGCTGTAACAATGTGAACTTGTTGATGTAAACTGATGAATAATCCAAATACATTATCAGTATGTGAAAGGAAATCTCACAGCATTTCAGACAATATACTCCATTCATGCAGCTGGGGGCACATGACATGCCTGCAGCAGAAGGATTAGGACGATCAGCTGAGCGCGACTCAATAGCACATTGTTCCTTGCTGCTCACCGCTTGTTTTTCCTCCAACTCTCCTTGAGCATATCAGAGGAGGACAGAACCATCTCGCCTCCCTCACGCGTGCCAAACTTCAAATCACTCGCAGTCCACTTCCCACAGTCAATTGCTTACAAGCTACTATGGTGTTGCCAAAATGTCAAAGCTTTTTGTGGCACTTTTTAATGCTCTTTATTGTCTTAAACAAAGCTTGGGGGGGGGGCTATTTGTAAAAACAGCTCATGTTCAGGAAAATAAAAACAATGAACGGCAATTAAGAAAATCAGCTTTGGGCTTGAGATTACAGTGCACACTGCTGCCTTTGTTTGCAGGTCACATCTGTATTTGAGGGACAAAAGGCAGCCACACAACATGCTGCTCTGTGAATGTATCACGAAAAGGGCGAGTGCCAGCCTGAACTGATCTTCTATTCAGGCTCTTATTGTCTCTGTACCACACTGATAACAAACAGCACACATCTCATCTACTCCATCAAAGGCTAATGTGGCAGGCTGGACAACAAACAGCAGGTCTCCGTCAAAACTAGGAAACGTACTATTACATGGATTAGTGGCTGGGATTTCGCAGGTAACTTCTCTGCTCTTATGACCAGCAAAATGAGAAAAATGTGCCGAAAGCAAATGAGAAAATTGCGATAAGGCTGGTCCCGGCAAGGAAAGTGTCCAGCACATAACCTCAGAAAAAAAAGAGCAGTTTTATTTACAAATTAAACAGGAGATAAACATGATAATTAGCAAGCCTATTTCCAAAAATTATAAAACTTCCCCTGAACATTTGCTCTTCTGTATGAAGACTTATATTTATAGGGACTGTAACATATTTCGCTGGAAGAATATACTGTAAGATATCGGACATCCACAGAAAAAAGCTACAGATGTGAAAATCCTCCATGGCTTATTGAGCCAAGCATTAAAGCCACCTTCTGCACACAGATATAGCAAAATATACTTATCACAGCAAATACATATCCCTAAACAGCCATTGTGTATTCAAAACTTTGCACAGAAAGCACTTTGAATGCACCTTTAAACCTCAAAGAAGCCACATCAGCAGCATCTTCCCTTTGAGAGAGGATTGAGCGAAGCAAAGACATTTAACCCGTATCTGGCCTCTCGTAATGGAGATTAAAAAGCTCCAAGATCTGCTCACCTGGCACTCACGTGAACAGACTTGTGCTGTTAGCAAAGGGATATGGTGTACAGCAGAAGAGCACACATACAGTATATACTGTGTTGACTCAAAGTGTGCAAACATCGCACCTGATGAACAAACACATAGATGTCTGTCTTTCCGCTGTACCGGTTTTAGTTGCCTTGGGAAATCAGTGTGCTGCAGCAAATAGATTTTTAATTTCCAGTGTGATAATCATCTCCTTGAACACTGCTTATTTTGAACAGCAATATAAACCAGCCAGAGATTCTCAAAACTTCCTTCGGCAATGTCATTTGGATTTGTACCACTTCAACAGATTAGGTATTATCTTGATTTCAACAATATGTTCACAAGAAAAATATGGATGTAGCTCACCTATATAGAGTGATGAGTCTTTCTTCTTCACGTGATCATCGATGTAGGACACCCCCAGGGGCTGCACCGGCGTGGCCCCGATCCCAAGTAGGACCTGGGCTCCAATCAGCAGCAGGTACATCATGTTGGTGTTGGCCCTGTTGCGGCATATAATGTCCTCAGCCTTCTGAACCTCTATGCTGCTGGTGTTTGAGCAAACATCCCGACCCACGTCAGTCCTCAACGTCTCCCCTATCTCATACTGTTTTGTCAGAAACTCAGGCAGAGCTGAGAGAAGGGCGCCAAGAGCCATGACGATGCCCCCGCAGCCGATCAGACGGGGCCGATGTGCTTTGGCCCCAAAGTAGCTGACAAACAGGATCAGAGCCAGGTTGCCTATCTCAAAGCTGCTGGCTATCACCCCCACGTCAGCACTCTGCAGGTTGAACCGCCGCTCCAGGGTGGTCAGCACACTCACCTGGAGACAAAATCAAATCAAGTGGGTCAAGGCAATGATTATTGCGGGGAGGCTGTGGCTCAGTGGGTAGTGTGCTGGACTTAGAAACAGGGGATAGCAAGTTTGAGTCCCACTGCAGTCAGCATGTCATTGTGTCCCTGGGCAAGACACTTCACCCCAAATTGTTCCTGTGGGGATTGTCCACAATAGTGAATGTATGTAAGTCGCTTTGGATAAAAGCGTCTAACAAATGACATGCAATGTAATGTAATTATGAGGGATGGAACACACGAAGACAAGGATGTGGGAATCTGATGCCTAATATCAAGGAGAAAAATCTATTATATGATTTATCGATGATAAGTATTATAAGCATTCAAACTCTATGACTTTATTTATACATGCAACCTGTATCCGTAACATCTGTATATAGAAAAATGTGCGTTCATGTAAGTTTGTCAATGCAGAACACGTTGTGATCGACAGCGAACAGTTCAGTCGGTTCCAACGGATCACTCAGAAATACCAAGTGTAATTGGGGACTATATTCTTGAAAGAATCGTGGATTTTTTCGTCATCAATTCCAGACTGTGCCTTTCCATGAAAAAACCCTGAATAACAATCTGTTCAGATGTTCCACGCTGTGGCTCCTCCCTGGAAACTTGGCCCTGGTTTTGATTAGCCGGGCTCAGATACGTTTAGCTTTCGTGAAAATAACTCATCCCAAGTTTCCCTCTCTTAAACAGCTCATCCCGCAAGAGCTAGAGTCTACCAGTATCTACCAGCTGAACACAACCCAGCAAAACTGGTTGTTTAGCCCAGTTTGGTTTGTTAACTGTAGTTGTCACAGTCTAAATAATGTAGTACAATATTTATTTTCAGTGTGCGAGTGCATACAACATTGCTGATGTTATTTCAAAGTCAAAGACATTTTGATAAGGGGTCTGTTGTAAAGCAGAGCAGGGCTGTGTTTGCTTTTGATATGTGGGAACAGTCTCTCTCTGCCATGTGAACCACAGCCACACATTTAAACGGTTATGAAGCTATTTTCAGATCCGTCCCAAACTGTCCTTGAAAGGGCATCACAATTTTCCATTTCCCCAACGGGCTCGGGAGTTTTGACTCAACTCTAAACAAACTGAAAAAAAAAGGATCCACCAACACAAACATCCCTTTTGAAAAAGGGGACTACACTGCATGATGAATCAACTTGTGGTTTTGCTTTCAGAAAATTGTTTCATCAAATGCTCGATTATGCTAATGTGACGTACACAGTTGATGTAAATAAGAGCAGCATGTAACACCGAAGTGACCTTTGAGTTAGCTGTATGTCTCTTAAACAACCACAACATTGCTATCTGCCCACCAAATCTGGTGCTGAATCAGTAATGAACATAGAAGTAACGTCTTAGAGTTTTTGGCCAGTCGGTTCTATTTTGTCATACTACAATATTTCCTGAAGCAGAAAGGAAAGAAAGTACCACACAGATACCTCAAATATGATCCGTTTCTCTAAAACTATCCAAACACTTTGTTTTTATCACCGTTCTCTACACTCCGTCCATTTCAAGACCATAATGCACAGCAGTCTAGTAAATGAGAAGTCTTTGACAACTTAAAATCGGTTTGCTTTGTCATTAGGGTTAAAATAAAAAATTAATTGTCCTCTGTGACTTTTATGGAGCAGAAGTGACAGCAGGTCGTTGCAGCTGCTCTAAGCTCAGCTGCACTGACCTTCACTCCACATCAAAGCATTGGGAGGATGATTGTTGGGAGCGTTTCGTACCGTTGTCCTTTTGGTGACGTTGAGTTGAAAACTTCAGAATGAGTCACAGCTCTCTGCTCTTTCTCACTGAATGCAAACACTCCTGACGGGATGTTTTTATCCAAGCTGGCTCTGCTCCACAGGGATGGGATCTCAACATTGTCTCATCCACCTCTTAGAAATTATGCCAGGTCTAAACAACCTGTTGACACCGTAGCTTTAGCTCTTCACAGATAGTGCCACTTCAACAGAGTATAGCAGAGCAAGTGAAGCCGTCATCAAATCCAATCACATCCCATCCCATTGCAGGAGGTCTGTGTGAGTGACTGAGAGCTGCTGCTCCCCGCAGTGGAAACACTGATGTGTTGAGCCCTCGTGTCTAGGTTCAACATGTTTATGCACTTTCACTCTGACTCCTTCCAGGAGGATTACAGTCTGAATACATGATATAGGAAAGTTTGAGTGGATTGCATACTGGTCAGTGGTAACAGCCACATTTTCTCCAAAATACTCAAACTGTGGAAATGTTTTATCTGTTGCATGGCAACAAAACAAACCTCGTCAAGTTGTGTGACACCTCATCGCCAAACACAAAAACGAGTCTTGTCTGAGCACAAGAATCCCGAATTCCACAGGCTTTTTTCCCCCAGGATTTACTGAGAGGGTGTTTATTAGCAAAAAGGCAGTTCAACGCTGACATCCACTTCAACACATTAAGGTTTAGCTCTGATGGTGAAAGTGCTGAAATGGTGCTATTTGTGATGGCACAGCAGCTGTTTATACCTGAAGTTAAAGCTATTTAAAAGCATTTCTATTCAGCTTTATGAAGTGTAGCCTCCTGAATGGTGGACTGAAGGTTAACCAGAGGTACTTTATCTGCTCTGAATTAGCCTTTTTAAAATGTTGTTTTGTTGTTGTTTAAAATAGGCTAAATTCACAGTGTTGATGCTGTGTATCTTAGACCTTTTTCTTTCTTTCGGTACTCTGTTAATGGCTACACCTGTGTGCTATTAGATGAAAATGGCCTAAGGCTGATAAAGCAAAAATAAATGACCTGGATGATGTATGTTTTGATTTGCCTGTAAATTAATCAAAATGATTTATTGTCTCAGCATTGAATACAAAAATAGCCTTGCTGTTAACACTGAAATGTCATATGGTTTTAAAATGACAATCATTTTCTGTCATACAATTTGGGCTTCTCCCTCCTTCCTACGCTCAGCTGATTCAGAACGTCTGAAGTTTGAGGTTCCGGTGTTGGTTGCACCTCACAGATCAAGCTCTGAGGTGTAAGAAATTATTCTTATAAAGGAAGTCTTCATACAAACAAACCTTAAAGCCTTTAAGTCACACATACAGCTTCCCAGGGCTTAATATCTAGTATCAACTCAAGCAATTAAAATGTTATATGACTGCAGAAAAGTAGCAACAATATATCTGTCTCTGTAGCTTTTCTATGGCGTAAAATAAGACGGTTGGTATATTGTGTAGAACCAGATCAAATTACTACATATAATACGGGAATCTTACTCAGGTTTGTTTTTGCACAACTTGGTCTCCAACCAACATTTGTTTACATTGTTGATGCAAGCTTTTGTCATTTCAGATTCAAAATCAGTTAAAAAATGCTCATCAAAACTTTCCAAAGACAGAGAGCGTTGGTTTATTTGGCTTGAAAATACAAATAATCAACTCTCAAATTAGATGCAGAAGAGTTCTTCTGTCGCTTGTCTGATATTTTCAGCCCTACACTTTTATGGCAAAAGGGATGAACTGAATAATAATCCTGCAGTCCATCAGACAAAGTCACCAACTGCTGAAAAATATACAATATTGTAATTCAGATGTAGATTTTTAAATCACAGATGGCACTTATTTTAATATCATATACAAAAAAAACTGGGAAAAAAAGATAATTTCTAAAAACTGAGAAAAAAAATCCTCTAATCAATCAAGAAACAATGATACACAAATATGTGCTTCTTTGGTATTTGCCTGTGCAGGTCACAGTGTGTTCTCTTGCAGCCAGGCGTCTACATCAGGATACCCAGCATGCTGCTAAGTGTCTTGTACAGTAAGCAGTTTAGAGAAAGCAAAGATGGCCATGATAGTTGAGTTGTGTCCCTTTACTGCCAGCAAGCTCTCTTAAATCCCCATCATCCAATCAGAGATACCACAGTAGCTCATGTAGGTCGACACCAGTTCACCAGATTGTAAACGAACCAGTTACATAAAGTGCTGTCTGAAGAAGGTAAATAATGGCGCATTTCCACTACAGCGCGAAGCTCCCTTTAAGCGTGCCATGCCCGGCCCGTTTTTGGTTGCATTTCCACTTGGCATAGTACCGGCTAGCGGGTAGGCCTAATATTTCACAGTTTTTCTGGCTCCATAAAATCGAGGTTCTTTCCGGGCCAACAACCAGGCTGAGTCGGGCTGAGTATGCTAAACTAGAGAGAATCGCTGGCAAGGGGGCTACTACAACAAAATGAACATATTTGATCGTGATTTAATTGTAATACACGTTTAGAAATGATGCCGAAGTAACAACATACTGATACCGGTTAGTAAAAACCATGAATTAATGCTTTGACAAGTCTGCAGACAGACGGCAGGCGAAAAACCTTTTAAAATGCGTGTTTTCTGAATGGAGATCGGCTAAGCTAACGCAGTATATGCTCCAACCGTCCACACTCACAACAACGGCCTAAACAGACATAAATAAACCAGCGACTGTATTCGCCATGACACAGACAGTCTGTGGTTTGTACTTGTTTAACTTTTGTCTAGTTTCTGAACAGATATGAGTAGCTGTGAGCTCTGACGGAGCGTCCACACAGCAGCGTGCGTTGACGCTTGGCGGTGGGCGTGTCTGAAGCTTGGGGAGTCAACGCGAGCAACGCGAGCAACACGAACAAAAGCCAATCACATGAATCTCCCGCCCCCGACATACAAAGCAAAAAAAATTCCATGCTAGCTATATATACTGTCTATGCCTGCTAGCTCTCCCATTCAACACGAGGAACACTGGATATAAACTCCCCAAACAGGCGAAAACCTACCAGTTTCACCACCTATCTCTGCCACCTCCCTCCATGCCTGGCTCCTCCGGTTTGTACCGTTAGATGAACAGAGACTGATCATACAGCACCGGGTGATTCACTACCGCAATGATTATTTTCTCCTCCATTTTATGGAACATGTAGAAATGACCTGCGGTATGGCTCTCGCAGCATAACACGTCGATTTAGCTGCACTG